AATCCTGCTGTAAATCCGATACCAAACAGCCCCTTAGACCTCTTTGCCCAACGCCTCATCCTCCCCTTCTGATTCCTCTTGTCGCTTCCCTATACCTGAAGATTTCTTGAGCCCTAGTCTCGACCTAGTGCCGAGCTCTCTCTAACTTGCATACCCGAGCCCTTTAGATATACATGTTATTATTATTATTATTATTTATTATACTTTATTATTAACTATTATTAAGTATTGTTATAATAGTTATTATTATTAATATTAATAATATTAAAAGAAAGTTTTGTGCATTTTGCACCCGATGGTCACTATTCGAAGGCATAACTGCTTAAACTCAAAACCCCGCATTCGACGTTCTTGTCGAGCCGGAAAACCACCCATACACATTTTTATCTAGCGTGGTGGGAAGGAAACCCGGTGCAACACCTTCGGCGAGGCAGGTAGGCCCTATTAATGCTCTTTGTAGCGTGGTGGGAACAATTTTAAGTACCCGTACATGGCTCTGTACCTACGGGGAAAGCAAACTATTTTTCTTTTGAAATAGGGATCGAAGACCCATACACGCCTTTCTCTGGCGTTGTTGGATTGAAGATTTCACGGCCGCACCGAGAGGCCCAATTTCCTATAGTTTTTCCTAAATAGGGGAGACACATGAGACTTGAATCTGAACTTGATATTAAACAAATATTGTATAATTTGAACAAGAAAAGGAACTTAAATTAATTGAAATGAACTACAAAAGATTATGCTTGGACTTGGACTCGTATTCAATCAAATGCAAAGAACTTTGATTCAATTTGAACCTAAATGAAAACTACAAAAAAGTATGCTATAACTTGAACTCAAGTGAACTAAGGGCGAAGGGACATGAACATAAATTTGAATTCAAATGAATAATGACAAGGGACCTAAATGCATTGGAAAAGACTTGAACTTCTACTCAAAATCAATCTAGAATTTGAACTCATATGGACAACAATGGACTTGTAACAGTTATCTCTATTGGAATGAAGGCATTGAGGAATGTAATATCATAACTCATTATGCATATGTCAAATCCTCTTTGAAGGTTAGGAGTTTGCAAGTGGAACTCGTTTGCAATCAATGAAAGGGTTGAAAATGATATGATTTGGTTACAAAGTCATGGCATGAACTAATGTTTAAAATTGCGCAATTGGGTATTGATGCATTTTTTGTTCATGAGGTGAGGCATAAGCCTCAAGACATTTTGAGGCGTAAACCTCAAAATCAAAAAATTACGTGAAGTGATAATAAATGTCAAAAGTGATTTTTATATAATATCTAAATAATATGTTAAATGATGACATATTAACTTTATATTGAATTATGAATTAACAAATTGACATATACATGAAATAAAAAATTTCTCAAAATCGAAAGTGAGAAGTAATAAATTGCATGAAATAGAATACAAAATCCAAATATTATAAAAGAAAAATAAGATTAAGTATAGAAATTGTATAAAAGTATCATATAACATCAAGTTCAACTACAATTTTTTTTTTAATCAATTCTCTACTAATTTACATTTAATTTTTAATAAAAGTTGAAATAGTTGACAACAACTTAGGAATTATCTGCACTATCATTACTGAGGTGGCCTTTATTTGAGTTTTTGCATAACAAATTGGTCTATTCCCTACCTCATTCAATAAGTTGAACACCTTCCAATATGCTTCTTTTTTATTTAATTTAATCATATTCATCTTTTAGAAATATTTCCATCAAAATAAATATGAGATTACTGCTCCAAAATTTTTAGGCTATTGAGGCTTGCAAGTTTCTTGAGAAATAATGGTCATACATCCAATATGCCATCCACAAGGAAAGGCTAAGAGACTACTGTCACGACCCGGCCAAGTAAGCTCGCATAGGCGAGGCGGGAACAGAGGTCGGACGGTAGACTAAACTATCAAGTCTCTAAATCTATCTCCATAATATTGAAAAAGAGCCACGAAAATGATAAAATTTAAAACACATAAACATAACCTCAAACAGATTTATATAATTACCTTTTTTTCCTCGCTCCTCTCCTACGGTAAACATTTTCACCCCTTCTACTCATTTTGATTTAAAATAATTACACGTAAAAAAATGTTAACAACTAACATCTCATTTCATTTCATTTCTATAACATATGAACTTATATAATAATGCCATAAGATGTAACATATAAATTTTATGATCAACCATTGGACAAGAGTAAAGATTTTATAAACATGCTTGGTCTTTCAAAACATATAACTTGAGAGAAACAAAAGTCATTACTGTGAATTATCATGTATACTTACTTGAATGTTTGATGTATGAAATTTATCGCTTCCCCTTCTTCAATGCCCTTTCTCTCTCACCTTGAAATTCTAAGAAAGATAATAACTATGATTGTCAAATAATTACTCTAAGTCTTACTTCAATCATTACTAAGTTAATCTTCATTGTTATTAACCTCCTTAACATTAGACATGAAACCTCCTTAACATTTGGATTCTTTTCATTAATTATCATCCATATTATCTCGACCTAAACCTTACTTTTCTATCTTACTTCTATCATTTCCTCCTATGAAGATTAAATTTTTATTTTCGGATTTAATTATATTTTAATTTATAAAAACTCTAATTTTATAAAAATCATATTTTTAGCCCTCTTTAAACCTCATTAAAAGTTTTATAATTCAAAAAATACTTTTTATTTTTGGATTTACTTAAAATCCCTAATATTAGAAACATGAATTTCATTAATCTCTTACTTTAGCATGCCAAATCTTCACTAGTATTTAAATAAATAATTAGAACTTTCAATTTTCGGATTTAACTTATTTAGAAATGGGAAAATTGTTATTTTGAGAAAAATCCCAAAATCTCATCATTAGAACCTTCTAGGTATAAACTTTTTAAAGAAACTTTCATAAAATAATGAACATTTGGAAAACCATAAGTTTTGAAACCCTAAAGTTTCTTGGGAAAATTTATGTTTTCATGGTTAGGAACTCTTCCTCAATCTTCCCTAACATTCTTTCTAAGTTCCTCTAAGAATTTCTAAGTTTCTTCACAAACCCTAAAATTTTCTCCTCTAAAAATCTAAGGGGAAAATAAAGATTTTTAAGTTTAGAAACACACCTTAGACTTCTCTTGACTTCCTATCTGATTCCCACAAATTTCCTCGCCGGAAAAAGTCGCCGGAGTTGCCCGTTGCCTCTCCCTTTCTCGCCTCTTCCGTTCGCCTCTTCTCTCGGTTTCGAGTTTCGACCGAACAAAAGAATGAGGGGACACAACAGAATCGACCCCCTTAAGGCTTGGGAGTTTAGGGAAAGGTCCAATTACCCAATTTCCCTCACTTAAAACATCCAAGCTTGAATAATGATTAGGGGTAGTTTGGGTATTTAGAGATTTCTAACATTTTTATCTCCAAAAATAAACAAAATTAAACATAACTTCTACATACCAATTTTCTTAGAATTTTACAAAATTATTTTTGTTAAATTTTGACAATTTTGAAAAATTCACTTAAATCTCGTTGCAATGCATCGAAAAGCGTGCGATGACTAAAATTGGCATTTTTTGGGTTTTACAATTCTTCCCTCCTAACAATAATTTTGACCTTAAAATTTACATACAACATCTAGTTGCAACTCAACCAACATCTTCCATTTGATTTAACATAAACTTCAACATTTAAACAAAATAACTAAACATCCGATATATCATAACAAAAATAATCTTATCAATCCCAAAACATCTGAGATGATATAACAAGATAAACTACTAAATTCGAAACACCAAAACATCACATGTAACATTACAATTCACTAAAAATAGACCATAAAGCCATCTCAATTGTCATTGTGAGCATCTACAGATTCATTGAGCTCCTGTTGAGTCAAAGTATAAACTCGTGGTCGAACATTCTGCCTGGATTGATTTTGCACTAAATCTGCAATTGATGATTCTATCATCTTGGGCTTTTCATAATTCCTCTGTGAAGGTGCTTCATTTGATCTCATTTATCCTAAAGTCTTCTGAACCAATACTGGACAATATTTTGCTATGTGTTCAGGCTGATGACACCAATAGTAAGTGTTGGAACCAATCAAACATTCACCTTTATGTAATCTTCCAGACTTAGGACAAGGTTTTGTGACTTTACTGGTAGTTGCACTGCTGACACCATTATGACTAAACTTTGGTATCTTCTTCCCATTTGATCCCTCAGTCTGATTGCTTTGTATATCCTTATCAAAACTCTTCCTTTTATACGGATCCCTTCTCCTTTGAGTAGCTTGCAAATCTGATTCAATTATTCGGGCCCTCTCTAGTAGAATTGAATAATATTTAATGCCAAAAGGAATCAAGGGTTATTTAATGACATCCTTCAAACCAGATAATTAACTGATTGATGACTAGCCTTAATTGAAAGTTCTCTCTCATTATTGGGAGAGGTAATTAACTGAAGGGGCTTGCGTTTGTAGGAAACTAGAACTTAGATCATAAAATCTGCGCAAAATGAGGGCAAAATCTCTGGGTAGTGTGTTATCTACAAACTCATATGCCTTCCCAAAATTTACTCCAGGACTTAATTCATTAAAACCCTCCTGAAAAAAGCAGATGGGGAATTCGGGGCTGAATTTTTAGAGCCCACAGATTTCGGGC